TTGATCATGTTATTTATGACATGTTTTTTCTATTTTAAATAATTGAATTCGAACGGTCACACAATATAAAAAAGATCCCTAATCGATTTTGTCACATGTGACAAATTCAAATGTCCGCTATGCTGAAATTATTGCAGTTGTTTCACGTATCACGAATTAATTTTTTTTTGAAATACAAATATTTTATATAATAGCAAATATTACAATGATCTAAAAAATAAAAATATAACGATTTTGATAGTTGCATGAAATGAACTGTCATTAAGCCATAATAGTAAACCCATTTTTGAAACAAGTATTAATATTAATACAATGTACCAGATAATTGTTTAAAAAATTAATAAGAGATGATGATAATTAATCATTTTTTAAAGTATCATTGCAGAAAATGCATGGTCCCAAGAATTCTGCAGAGGGCAAAGCTCTCAAAGAATTTTAGCTCTCCGCAGGAGCATGTGCAGAAGGAAAATTTTTATATATGTATTCCACTTTTTGGATGGTTTTTAGCAACGTTATATATACATATTGCACTTTTTTTTTTTTTTTTTAGATAGGAATCGTGAACATTAATTATCTTATATATATATAATTAACATTCGCAAATATTGGAGAAGAGGGTAATATTAGATAATTACTTTGTGATTATGATAATTAACAATTTGTTCATATTAGTATGGATAAACAAATTAATTAATTAATTATATAAAAATGCAATAAAAATCATTGGAAAAAATCATTATTACATGCAACCATCAAGAATCATTATAATGATACTAATATTAATATCATTTGACATATCAGTTAGTATTAAAATACCCCCCCCCCCCAATGATTGAAATTTAAGCAAACTACATTAGTACTAACAGTAACAAATTCTTGTCACTCATGTTACAATTTTTTGTTAATAAATTCATGTTTTTAAATTTTTTTTTTAAATAAATTAATAAGTGGTTGATCAAAATTATTAGTATCATTCATCATAATTTTATAAAGATGCAATTCATGAAAGTTTGCTATCTGATCCTGAGAAAAATTATATATATTAATTTTTCTTTACAAGACCATGAAGGTTTGCCAGTGGCTATCTGGTCTTTTTTTTAAATCATGTATATAATTTTTTTTTTAATAAATTGTTAATAATATAAGCGAATTATCTATAGCATGGAAAAAAAAATTGTTATATATATATACCAGAAATTCATTGATTAAGCAATATTTATTTTTTTCCTTTCTAAATATATGTGTAATGCTAACTAGAGCTCCGAACGAGTCAGGTCGGGTCAGTGGTTCAACCCAACCCGACTCGAACTTTTAAACAGTTGACCCGACCTGACCCGTCGGGTCAACGGGTCACAGATTAAGAAAATTACAAATGTAGATATATTAATTGATTTAAATATATACAGTACACACAATATGTTCACTATTACTGCCACTTTTAAGAAATCTGTCCAACATCATTGCTTGTTTATTTACATTAACATCAATTTTATTTTTATGATTCTTAAGATGATGACTTAAATTTGAAGTAGAGCCACTATTCATATTATATTTCCCATGTCTTTATTTAATGAAATACCAGGATTAGATTTTGATGCAGATCTTTTGGTCGAATCTTTTAATTCTGGGACAATTTAAATTTTATTTATTTATTAATTCTATTTATTTTATTATCATCTGAATTTGCATTACGTTTCGCGTATTTAATTATTATTATTATTATTATTAATTAATCTGTAGCACGTTCATATTTATTTAACTTTATTTAGTAGAGATTAGTGACAATTCTTCAAAACGGGCAGATTCGCCCAGTTACAAAGTGAGCGGATTCGTGCAATTCGGGCTAATATGTAAAGAACATGTGTATAAAGAACTTGATTTTGACCTAATGTAAAAGCAACTTTCTTACAAGTTAATTAGTTTCGACTAAATAAATAAAATAGAAATATTTTATTTAAAACTTTTATCTTTAACCAAAATTATTCGCTAATAACAAAATCAATTCATTGATCCCCTATTCATTCTGATCCACACAAAACAAAAATAATTATTATCACCAATTAAAATACACTCTCCCGAATTTAATCGGTGACAATAGTAATAATAATAATGAAATAATAATAATGATGATAATGATAACGAAATAGCAATAATAATTAAATAATAAAAAAATAAGGTTTTCACTGATCACCAAATAATTTTTCCATAACCATAAATAACGCAATTTATTATTATTTTTATTTTACATAAACACTTGCATCAATTATTGATTTTTTTTATGTCAAAATTGTTATTTTGCCATTTATTTTTATCCATTTATTAGTATTTATACTAGTTTCAAAAATAATTAAAGGCAATTATAACATGATGTTGACCCGGGTCAAACCCAGGTCAATTAAATCATGACCCGACCTGACCCGTTCGGGTCAACCCGACTCGTTTCGGAGCTCTAATGCTAACATCATGCTACATTGTGACAGATTGCTACATTTTTTGAGAAAAATAATAAATTCACATGTTTAAATAATTGCATACATGAGAAGGAATTTTTTTGGCAGTAAATACATACAGTCAGAACTCGATAAGACGTAACTCGATAAAATGAATTTTTGTTATAACGAAGTTTTTCTAGTTTACCAATTCATTTATAATAAAATCAACTCGATAAGACGAAGATTCCTATTGTTTCACTTTAATGTTTAAGACGATGTTTTCATATGGTTCCATATATAGTAAACTATAACTTGATAAGACGAATAACATCGGTTTATCGAAGGAAACTTCGCTTTATTTTGTACAATTTTATAAATGATTTACAGTAGTGGTAGTACATATTGTTCCCTAAAATTAAAGATGAAAAATACACTGACGTTGAAAGATAAAAGAGAAATATGTGTTCTAAAACAATCAAAACCTACTCCAACGAATAGAGACCTTGCTATTCGTTTTAAAATTCGTGAAAATACTGTTTGTGACATATTAAAACGAAAGTCAGAATATCTTGCTATTAATCCAGAAGATCCCAATTCACATAATAAACGTTTACGCAAAGGAAAATATTCAGGTCTAGAAGATGCATTAATTCTTTGGACAACACAAATGCTTAAAGCAAATTTAACTATTAATGGTTCTGTATTACAATCAAAAGCAATATGTTTTGCGGAATTGTTAGGTTTCCGAGATTTTAAAGCATCAGGTGGATGGCTAAGTAATTTTAAAAAAAGACATAATTTTTCTCAATATAGTAAAGCTGGCGAAGCTAATAGTGCACCATTAGAATTATTACCATCTGAACGTGATCGATTACAAAATATTATTTCACATTATGATTTGGATAATGTGTACAACTGTGATGAAACTGGTAAATAATTTTATTTACAAACGGTATTTAATGAAAAATTTTAAATTTAACATTATACTAGCTCTATATTGGCAATTAGAACCATCCAAGACCTTGGCACAGGGACCTATATCAGGTATCAAAAAATCGAAAAATCGCATTACAGTTCTATTAACATGTAATGCTACAGGTAATGATTACATCAAGCCATTAATTATTCATAAATATAAAAACCCTCGTGCATTAAATGGAAAACAAAGAGAGGACTTTCCGGTAGAATATTATTGGAACTCGACTGCCTGGATGCAATTATCAGTATGGCATGACTATTTAAAAAAACTTGATACATCTATGCGACAAAAAAACAAAAAAATTCTACTTTTGGTGGATAATGCACCAACTCATTCAAATCGTGACCTTAATTTAACACATGTTACAATTGAATATTTATTACCAAACACAACCGCACATCTCCAGCCACTCGACGCAGGAATAATTAATTCGTTTAAGGTTTTTTTAATCTTATTATTATGTAGTTGGGAAATAAAAATAAAAAAAAAATAATAATGTATTAACATTTAATTATTAGGCCAAATATCGCAAATTACTGGTACAAAATCGTATAGAGGCATATGAAATTTCTCAAGAATTCGAGACTCCTATTGTTCCATTAAATATCTGGAATGCAATTGAATGTTGTGCAAAATCTTGGAAAGGTGTAAGTTCCGAAACAATTCAAAATTGTTGGGAAAAAACCCAAATAATCCCACCATCATCACAAGATAGTCATATTGTAGAAACTGTTCAAGATAATTTTGAAGAAGAATCATCACAACTGGAACATCTAATTGACAAATTACCATTTGACGATCCTATTATGGCAATTGATTATATTACGATTGACAATGAAGTGGTTGAAGAAGAAACAGTAATGGAAGATGAAGAAATCATAGCTACAGTCACATTGACATCTAACAATGGTAATCAAGAGGAAGAAATAGAAACTCCTGTAGTTACTTTAACTGAAGCATTGAGAGGTGCTGAAGCACTTCTTAATTTTGTAACTTACCCACCAGAAAAATTTGAAATTTCAACAAAGCAAATTTCTAGTATTCGTTCTGTTAGAAGTAGCATTTTATTATATAAAAGTTCACTAGTGCATCAACGTAGTATAGATGAATATGTAAACTTTGATGTATAATTTTTTAAACCGAATTTTTTTTTTAAAATATATTAACTTCGTCTTATCAAAGATTACTTGATAAAACGAATATTTGATAAAACGATGTTTTGAGCCCAAAACAAGTACATTGGTTTAACGAGTTCTGACTGTATTCTGCAAATGATTAAGCATACTAATATATTTTTAGTAAAATATTTCCAAATATTTTCTGGGTGTGCATTAGCTTTTTTTTTATAGCTGTCAACAGCCCAGCATTGTGCATTGTGTTAATTGCATCACATGATACACCTGAGGCTGAAAGATACAGTCCAATTTCCAAAGGATAATCATTCACAAACTTGTTATGTATTGCTGCTATTGAATAACATATATCAACTACTTTCTTCCTATCTTCTTTTTTGTTGTATGCAGACTGTCTTTCTGGAATGAATGCATGGCATGGTTCCTCAAAGAATCCTTTCGATAATGGCCCAGCTTCTTCAAGCATTGTTTGGAAATTAATTGGATTTAACTCAAGTATTTCATCTTCTTTTCTTTGTTTTATATAAAGAACTTTAGTCATTAGAGCAATTTTGTCATCAAAAGATAGAATTTTGTAGCAACTGCAAAATAAAATGGAGATAAATTGTTTTTTTATAACTCTAGCAAATTTAAGATGTTTAAATATTCCTTGACAATTCACAAAATTATAAAGGCATCATATTATTTATTACTTTGTATATCTTCATTATTTTTAATTTCAATTAAGCTATTATAATTTATACCATTGCGATCAGGCTCTATGATCTTAAGATAATGAGGATAACACAATTGCTTTCCAACTTCCAAATAATTATATTGGTTAAAGGTACCTTTTTCTTTTGCTTTCTTTAGTGCATTAGCTGTAATTCCATGATATTTTTTTGGTATTATTTTGCAGTTACGAATAAAACATGGGCCATAATGCTTTTATTTAAAGACGTGTAAATTCAAGTTAATACAAAAAAAATGAAATTAAAATGAAAATTTAATATAATCACTAAACATCTATCTAGATGTGTAAAAGTATGGTTTTTATAGATCTATTCATCAAAATCTGAGCTACAAACTGATATAAATGCACTGTCAAACCTCACTTCAACAAATTCGCGTTTCAACAGGTTCTAAAAATATTTGTTACACGTTATGAAAACATGTAAAATCCGTTGAAATACGATCATAATTATAATTAGTAATTTCGTTTCAATGAATTTTAAATGAAATTTTCTTATATGTCCAGCACTCCGTTGAAACAAGTATTAATTCGTAATACGTGACTCAAGTAGTGAAATTTGCCGATCATCATTAAATTTTCTGGTGATAATAAATATTAGTATTTTTGAAAAATTTGAGAATCTCACTTTTCTTAATAACATTTTTTCATATATTAAGTAAAAAAATTTAAAATAATGAGTAGAAGTAAAGATTATCCTGTTTCTCTAATTTCAGTTGGCTCTTTAAAAGAGAATTTACATTTTGGTGACTTTTCTCAAAATTGGTGGGAAACTAGACAAAGCAATAATTCAAATGATATTGACAATATTTCTATTTTATATCCTATTCGTATTGGCATGGAAACAATGGTTATTCTTAATGAGACACAATTTTTTATTACTGTAGTTCAAGGCTGTGAAGGCTCATTATACCAACCTGGATATATATGTGAAGTTAATGGTAAAAAAAGTGAAGTTTTTAGTAATTCTTCAGCTGCTATAACTAACACTTATCAGGAACTTTTTAGCAGTAAATCAAAATTTTCTGGTCCTCTTATAATGGGACATAATAAATCAAAAATTAATGAACAAATTCTTGCAGACATAACTTTCTATCCATTTAATTGTATGTTTTCAAACATAAAATTATTTGTATATGGAATAGGTGCATTTACAAAGGATCATCTAGATAATACAGGTCCAGGTTTCAAATCATCTTTTGTTTATTTGATTGGAGCCAAAAAAATAAAAACTTTATTTGTTCAAGAAATTAATGAGAAGAACTCCAGTGTAAAAATGTATCAAAATTATAATTTGGTGTTCACATATATTGGTAATAGTCCTAATAATGTATGGGAGAAAGTTGGCATACTTTCACAGCATAAAGGAATAGATTTATTTGGTATAACAAGCCCTCAAGTTCAATCTTATATTCAAAAATTTCGTGTACCTAAATGTCTGCCTGAGGAATGATTATAGAAGAAAAAATGAAACCTCTATGGGAATATCATTTACGACGATTCACATTAGCTTCAACACCATGGAATGAATTTTTTACTAAATGGTACCATGAAACGAAGACCATAATTGAAATTACTGCTGCTTTAAAAGCAATATATCCATCAACTCATTCATTTAATGAAAGAGAAATGCGAGCTTGGAGGACAATGTTGACTCATGCTGGATGTACAAATATAACACCTTTTAATAAAGGTGCATCACCAGTAAGTCATATATAAACAATGTATTTTTCATGCTTGAAATAAATTTCTATTACTCACTATTATTTATGCTGGTAGCATGAATTTTGGACAAAATCCAGCAATCCAGAAGCTGATTGCAATAATTTACAGTTTTTATATGATTCAGCATTTTTGAAACCAATTCCTAAACAGTATTGTAGTGATGGTGATGTTTTTTGGGATAGTTTTCAACAATCATTGCAAGCTAATGCAAAGGGATATAATGGAAAAAGAAGAATTCTATCTATAATAGCAGAAAAATTTCCATATAAAATTTTGACAGAGAAATTGAAAGTAAGTATTAGGATATAAAAATCAATCATCAATTAAAATTTATTTTTATAATTATAATAGGTGGCTTCTAATACAATTAATGAAGCAAAAAAATATGCACGAATTAATGGTCCTGGCTGTGCAGTAACTGAAAGACCTATTAGAAAAATCAAAAAAATTACTTATGAACAAGAAAATCAATTCAATTCTTTTTTTCAAGATAAAGCCCATGTTATAATGAGCTCTTATAAAACTGATGCCAAAACAGGAGAACCAGTAGTTTACCTAAAAAATACAAAAAGGGCATTATGGGAAAAATTTAAATATAGTTTTCCCAATGGCATTAAAAGAACAACTTTCTACACCAAGCTAATGGGTAATCAATATGTTTATCGTGAAGAGGAAATGCGCGCATGTTACTTTGTAACACAAATTGAATGTCCACCATGCTAATAATAGTTATATATATATATGTATATAATATATATTATTTTATAATTCAGTTTTTCTTTGAGAATTGTCATCTTTGAAATAATAATTAAAATAATTTTTTAATAATAGTTACTGTAAATATATATGTATATAATATATATTATTTTATAACCCAGTTTTGTTTTGTTTTTCTTTGAGAATTGTCATCTTTGAAATAATAAAAAAATAATTTTTTAATAATAGTTATATATATATGTATATAATATATATTATTTTATAATCCAGTTTTGTTTTTCTTTGAGAATTGTCATCTTTGAAATAATGAAAAAAAATAGTTGTTTTAATAATAGTTTATATATATGTGTGTAAATATGTGTGTGTTATATATATTATTTCTTTACCTGTCTATATATTAGTTTATAATCTAGTTTGTTTTTCTTTGAGAATTACCTTTCAAGATTAATAAATATTTTTTTTATTTTTTGTATAAAATTATGTTTATAAAATTGAAAAAATTCGGTACATATTGAAATCCTTCAAAATCAATGATCTCCCTTGATCTTTTTGTCCAAGCCTTTTAACTAACGAAAAGTATATTCAAGCAAAACATCATCGTTTTACAAGTAGTTTTTAATCACCCGTGTTATAACCAGCCTTTTCTATTTTAAAACAATTGAAAATACGCTGTTGCACAGCATAAAAAAGATCTGCATTCAATTTTGTCACTATGTGATAAACGAATGTCCATTATGCTACTTTGATGTGTATCAATGATTCCTGTTATTTAATTATTTATTTGTGTAAAGTTCTTTATAATAACAATAGGGCAAGTTTTCCACAACTTAAATTTCCATAGTACTAACTATATTAATAAAAAATTTTATCATTTGATAATTATTTATATTATTGTTTTTAAATGAAGACAACAAACATAAAACTCATTTAAGCTAACAAATCTTTTAAAAAAATCCAGACAATATTATATGCATTATCCCGTAATTTCACCTTCATTCTATTTACTTTTGTTCGTAAGTTAAAGCGTTTGTTTCTGTATTGTTGGTGAAAACGACAAGTACAAAAACGTTGTGCTTGGCATTAAATTTCTCTCCGACTTTTCTCTCTTGGGTGTTTATTTGATTTGATAAATGATAGTAATTGCTTTTATTTACTAACACCTTTACCTTTTGTATACCTTGCAGAAGCCACGAATTTAAGGGTTACTGTCAAGAGCAAAGGTGTATCTATAACATAGAGTATTTTTGAACGTAAGGACTTTAATATTGATACTAAATCTGCCAAAACTAGCGTTTTTCACACTATTATTGTTTTCATGAATGCAAATGTTAAAAACATTCAAGTGTATATTCTTAGTATGGATGTGTTTGTATATTTGTTCGTTGGGTAAAACTTCAAAATAACCTATTGATTATATTATGACACTAAAAAATAAAGAATTCCTTTTATCGTACAATATAGAAAAAAGAAAATACAATTTGGAGTAATGTATCAATACAATGTTTGTAGGAAATTAGCGTTTTTAAAACTATAAAACCAGAAACCGAGATTGTAATCTTTGCCTACTCGCCTTGAGAGTTTTGCAGGTGGTTATTTAGTTAAATATTTACAAACCTTGCCAAGACCACCTTTTATGCTATGATGATAGAATTTGAAAGATGCCTAAAACAAAAATTCAAGGTAAATTATATACATTTTTTAAAATATTTTTCAAATAATTAAAGGTTAATTTAAATAATGAACCTAGTATGTTTAGATATTAAATATCATTATTGTGTTTTTTTTTATATTTAGGAAGGGTTATTTAGTTGTTATATAAATGCATATTTTTAAAATAATTTATTTATACATAATATTATTAATTTATTCTGCATAATTTGGATAAGCATAATCCTGGACACCCAATGAGTGCACGAAAGCATAGAATAATTTTGACATTCTATGGATGCATAAATGCATAACTTGAAAAAAAAGTATAACCCTGAACACTCTACAGCGTAATCTCCTTCCTTCAAAATTCTGAAGTGTAATATATTAAAATATAAATATAATGAACAAATTAAAAAAAACCATTAATTAGATGAATTAATTAAAAATTATATATCACTAATTCTTCTTGCCAAAGCTACTGGTAATATTAGTAGCGGTGACAGTGGTGGCGATGTCGTTGGTATCATCACAATGGTTGTTGACAAAGTAGTCGTTATTATTTATAATTTGATGATATGTTTGATAATAACTGTCAATAGCATAAAATTGATGAACTGGAATAAAATTGGTTGAAATAAGCCGATGAATTATATTTTCGCCTATTTTTTTTTTCATTGAAGAGAAGTGAAAAATAAATTTTTATAATTATTTTTTAAAAAAAACCATCAGCTTAAATTTTACCTTTATTGAAATCATTGTCGTTATTATTGCCATTATCGTTATTTGATTGAAGAATAGTAATATCTTTGGAACACTTCAAATTTCTATGCAAACAATTTTTGCAGATTCCATTTCCTTCTGAACATCTCCTATGTGATTTTTTACAGTTGTCGCATGCTCTTGAAACGTATTGGCCTCTAGTTTTTTTATTTTTATTGATCTTGTTGGTGTTGGTGACGGTGTTGCTACTATTACTAATACCAATATTATTTTTTACCATTATTATTAAATAATTAAAAATGCGTTTTTTATATATAATAATAATAAGATACCAATAACAATATTTCTATTAAATGGTTTGAAAAAATATCTGATTTTATAGAGAAAAAGAGAAAAGAATTGATCTCTTTTATATAATAAGCAATTATATTACAACCGTATTATTGTGTTGATTATTGATTGGTTAGAGCTTACTACTTTATAGATTGCGAATTATATAACATCTGGAGCAAAATATTATACGTACATTATTGTAGGTACAAAATAAACTTAATTGCATAATATTTGTTACAGTTTTCCGAAGACTTATACAAATGTCTAAATATGAAATCATCGTACTCACATATATGGCGCATATAATTCATCCGTTTCGTCAATATGTGTTTTTTATAAGTTTATTTCTAGGCTTTTAGATATTATTCGCGGTTTAAGAGTTTATTTAATGTTTTTTTTGAATAAACTAATAAAAAACATTTATTGGAAAGTCTAGATTGATCGGAATATCTTTTGCTGGTTTCATCACCACATTTAATAGCGTTATACAATATGAATCAATTACTCAAAAATGTATCCTGTTATAGTTTATCGGCGTAAGTCGAATATTGTATGCGAAAAATACATGTGATTATTGTCGCTGTAAGGTCTTGTCGTTTATATTTGATTTATAATAAAGTTTCGAAAGTTACATATCAGATCGCAAATAAAAATAGGTTTCTTTTTAAAAAATAATATTGGATTTAAAGAATAAACAAATAGTTAGAATACAAATACTTAATTCGTGTTATAAATATATTTCCCAAATACGACATTTAAATCCGATTTGTTTTTCATGCAGATCTTTGAAAAAATAAAAGCGCACAAAAAATAATAATTTCAAATTATAATCATAAAGTTACCAGAAAAATGGGCGTCTCTGTTTTTAAAAGTTACCATGCCTCTAGAGTTGGTATCTGCAACTGATTTGAAAGTCTGCAACATCCCAAATTCCACTAACTTTACACGCCTCAATAATTCTTAGTTTAACTGTTTTGTTACTTTTTGACCTGTAATAGTCTATTAACCTGTCATTCATCTTATTAAAATCATAAAATAATATATATTAACAATTTATAAATAGATTTCCTCTGCCTAATATATGCAACAGTTACTACTGAATGTAAACAATGTCGGTAACTACCATGGTAGTTCTTAAAAAAGAATGAATGTGAATGAGAAAATAAGTTTATCACATTTAATAATATTGTAAAAAAAGGATTCTTTTTTTGGGAAACATTCTAATTATTTTATATATTTAAATGTATAATTTTACAACCACGATTTGGGACCGCTCGTTAAATAGGAAAAAAGTGACAAATTTAACAG